CATATATATATATATATATACACACACACACACACATATAAGCCATGTATATAGTATATATATATATATATATAAGCTATATAATTTACAAGAAATGCCTTAGATAAAAATAATTTTAAAAAAAATAGTCAAGACACATTTAGGCCCGAGTCCGGCCCACATAGCCCGGGACCAGTACTAAATGGTCTCGGTCCTGATCTGGTTACACCCAAAAGCTCATAAAGCCCGAATCCGTTTAAGCCCGGCCCACAAAAACCGAGTCTGTTTGAGCCCGGACCAAATGCCAGCCTTATCACACACAAATAGCAACTTCTTATTCGGCATGACATCATTTTCTGACGTTCATACGCATACTAGATATTATCACACTAATAATTTAGTTAACATGTGACTTCAAAATGTGTTGCTTATTTTTTTTCCTAATAATTTATGTAACAGTGTTTGACTAGGCAGGCACAAATAAGTCACATACATTTCTACGGCTATAAATTACCTTGTTAAGAGTAAATAAAAAGTTTAAAGTTAAATTATAATTTTTTTTGATAAATAATTTTTTTATTACTAAGTAAACTTTGTACAACTCAAGTCAAAATTTTGAAAAAGAAAACCATTCCCCAATTACAAGCACGGTGTAATTCTTTTTGGTAGACTATAAAAAGTGTACCACATAAATTAGGACAAAGCAAGTATATTTTATTTTTATACGGATAGAAATCTGTTCCCGAATTAAATTGAATGAGCCCAAAGTTCACCTTAGAGATAATGATCAAAATTTCTGAAAAAAACTCCAAGTTAAAATATGATGCAAAAAAAAAAAGGAAGGAAAAACGTACCATGAGAGAACCCATTAAAACCACAAAAATGTAGTGTGTCAAAATTGCAATAAAGATATCGAGGAATTTGTTGAGTTTTGGATTGTTGAGTTTTTGTTTAAGATGAAATAGTCTTAAAATGAGAGTGAATGGGAAATGGGATTTGGATTCGGATTTGATCAAATGATCGATCGATTGATTAATTATTTGGACCAAATTTATTTGTTAATAGTGAATATTAACGTGATATAATCCGCGTTCGTAATGGATGTTTTCCAATCCATGTATTGTGTTGCACCAAGAAAGCAACAAGATGCCTAGTGCACCTCCCACCATGGCCAAGTGCTCCTCCCACCAAGCAAGTGTTCATTCCAGCATGTAAGTGCTTCCTCCATGATATCCTAATGCTTGTTCCACCATGGAGGGGGCAGATTTCTCTCACATGACTGCTATAAATAGAGCAGAAGTTGTAGAGAAAGAAGAACACACCGGAAAAAAACACTCGAAACACTCTGTATACAATTGATATACACTCTGTATATAATTGATATACACTCTGTATACACTCAAACTACACTCTGTATACACTGGAAAAACGAATTGCAATCTGATATCCTCTTCAGTAAGAATTCAACATCGTCTATACATTGCATTCCTTCCTCTCAGAATTTCCATTCGACTTCTGAGTTCTCCTCCCTTGTTCTGCATTGTTTTAAAACTACAAACAAAGCAACTGTAAGTGTGATTTGCTGCCGAACTTTGCGTTCGCTGAAATACTGGGGTTTGAAGTACCGCTACACCAGTGTGTAATTCGTTCTATCCTGGGAGGAAATAATCCATAACCTTGGGTACTAGGAGGGGATTAAATTCCTTAAGGAAACACTGTGAATTCAGTGAGCTCGAATTAATTTTTGTTTTAGTTATATCATTTATATTTACGTATGTTACTGCTGTAGGTAGCTGATAAAGAGGATAATATATATCTAAGAGTGGAAAAGTTAAAACTTGATCTTCCATCATTCCATATTTATACCAGATAAGAAGTACTATACAGAAAACAACAACAAAATTACATGTCAAAAAAGAACAAAAAGCAAGTAAAGTTACATTCCTATGCCAAGAAAAAAGAGAAGGTATAGTATATAAAAGAGAAAAAAAGAGAAGCGGATCGACTTGCATGGCTTTTTATGTACAAAAGATCAATTTTTCTTACTTGGTTGAAAAGTCAGAAGCTATAAGTCGTGGTTCCAAACTATTAATTTAAATTCGCCTGTATGTTCCGTCACCGATAATTTCTTTATTCCTAAGGTTCGAACTTGAGATATTAGGACCGAAAAAATCTCGTTCATCCCACCATTACACCACACTTCTTGATGGTACGTACGTAAACATTTTCTTCATTCTTGTCCTCGTCGTTGATGTTGAGGAGGAAACAGAGTCCTATCATCCATAATCAAATTTTCAGAAACCTCCATACTAGATCTAGAAGAACTGTTGCCTAGTCTATGAAAAAAAGCTTCATGGCCAATATTGTGACCCTGAGGGGGAGGATTTGTGTAGGGCAAAGTTTGTTGTACTTGCTGCTGAAACTGTATATTATAAGCACTAGGAGTAGTACTAGGATTCACTATCTGCTGATGAAGATTAATATTTCTTGACCTAAACGTCTCGGGTTCAAGTCCTGAAAATGAAAATGGTTCACTGTGGCTCCCAGTGAACTGTTGAACCATGGCTCGGAAATTGGTTGTGTTTGTATTGAGTACAGTTGTTGGGGTTCGCCTTGAAGCCCTGGATCTTCTTCTAATGGTCCTGGAACCACGGCCCAATGGGCCATGATGACCAGGACTAGTGGAAGATGGTGTGGTGGTGACCACCGTGGCGTCGGAGAGTTGGCCGCTGCTGAAGACGGTGGTTAACGGCGGAGAGGTTTGAGGTTGACCGGAGAGGGCATGTTGATAGATTTGTAGCCAGTCAGTGGGATTTGTTATGGTTTCACTCATGGTCACAAAATATTAGTAGGAAGAAAGTGAGATAAATATAGCTTTTGAAACTAGAGAGTTTGGTTAAAAAAAAAAAAGAGAATAAAACAAAAGGAAAATCAATAGAGTTTATAGATAATTTTTTTTTGCCAGTCAAAGTAAATGACTTGTATTATGGGACAGGGCATGTCTCCCTCCTTAATTTGGGGTTATATTTTCTCTTGAAAAGAAGACTTGTCAAGTGAGGTGGTGACCATTCTTTTTTCTTTTTTCTTTTTTTTTGAACCCCAAGAAAATCCGCAACCGTTATAATCTCTGCATTTTGAATGAGCACTCTGTATAGTAACCTGCAAACCACACATGAGATATAAACCGCATTAGATAAGCCCCGTGCGACAAGCTCAGACCTAGAGGGCTAGTCATATATTTCCTTTTTTCTCTCAATTTAAAAAAGTTGGGAGAACTGTTTGGTGGTTATGAGTTAGTTATTTTGAAAAGCTTTCTTATTTTTCACCCAATATACAATGTTGTTTGGCTCCAACTAATTCAAATTGGCACACGTAAGGTTCATTAAAGGGGAAACGTTCTCTATTAGGATTTTTTCTATTCACAGCAAGACTCGAATCCGAGCTTTGGTTAGGATGTAGAGATCCTATTTATCCCACCACAGCTTTCGATCGTTTAAATTTGAAGCACTTGTTACTTAATTTTGGTTCTTAAGAATTTTAAAAATTGTAAGAAAAGAAAAAATAAATTTCCTACGTATTTTTTACGGAGTATTATACGTTCGCAATATAGTAGCACGAGAAAAATTAATTGCTCCATATTACGATTTGTATATGCAGCAGACAGACCATTTTGAACTGTTCAAATTATCTTGTAATTTAACCTATAGGGAGCAGCTTTAATCCTCAAGTTTACTTCGAAAACATTACCAAAAAAAAAAAAAAAAAAAAAAAAAAAAAAATTCCGAAATCACTGAAAACTATTTATGTAAACCCTTATTACCATTGGATTTTCATAAAAAAATAGTTCAGTGATCCAAGAATCATAATTTCAGCTATGATTTTGTGTTTCACAGTATATTACTCTTTCCGGTTAACTTTAATTTATTTTTAGTTATTTTTACACAAATTAAAGAATCCACTTTTTAACATTACTTAACAATAAAATTGACCATATTAGCCTTTCTTTACTCCAAGAACAACTTTGAAAAAAAAAGAAATTAATTCTTTCTTGATATATATCGGAAAAAATCAAATATGAACTGCCAAAAAATGCTAAAAAATTAATTAAAATAGAACGGAGGGAGTATTTTATTGGATCTTTCATTCATATAAAAGGAAGGAAAAACTTTATTTTGAATATTAAAACATGTTTTCTAAATTATTAGTAATAGGCTGCCGGGAAGTAAGGCTTCTAGAAGCAGTAATGCCAGCTTAGTTAAAGCTTCGTGAATTTTGATAAATAAAATAAACAATAATGTTAAGTGCTGGTTTCCAGGAAGCAACAAGTCTGAGATGAAGATGAAAGCAATGACGACAACTAGGGGCTATCGAGGCGGGTCCAAAATTTGAACTTTATATGTTCCCACAACGAGATCAAGTTAATATACTAATAATTGAGTTACAATTAAAATTTTGAAATATTTAATGTATTTCTTAATTATATAAAGGATTCGACAAAAGTTATTGGGTTCCAGTAATATTCTAGATTTGCCACTGTTACTAACGGTATTAAGTATGAATTCACATAAATCCATTAACTTTTACTTAGATTATATAAGTATTAAAAATTCACTAAATATGCATAAATATTGTGAGAACTCAATAACTAAAAAAGGTTATGGGTAGATACAAATTCAAATCCTATAAACTTTAGATTTTGATTACTCCGATGACAACTAGCTCAAAACAAAATATTAGCATAAATGGGAATCCAAATTCTAGTACTATAGTTCTATTTAATTTATTTGTTTGTTGTCATTGTCAATTGCAATTTTGGCCACTATGAGTGCGTAGTAGGTGGTTACAAAGATGACTTTTAACTTGGTTCTCATGACTTTTTGGAGTCCTGTAAAAATATTGACTGCTATTCTTTTTTTTTTTTTTTTTTTTTTTTGGTCTGCAATGAGAAGCAGCCTTGTTTGGCATGTTTAGTTTGAATATGAAAGACATGATTTAGAAAATTTAGACGAGTCAAAGAAAGTAAACAAATACCGTACTTATTCGATTCAGCAGCAATACTTACTGCAATTACAGAACTAAAATCCCGTTTGGCCATAAATTTTGATAACTTTTTTTTTAAATTCTTTTTAGGTGATTCGGGCGTGGTCGCCCGAATTCATACATATGGCATAGACTATAGATCACAAAAAATAAAAAATCATACTAAGTTTCAGTTTTATGGCCTTAAAACGACAAAAATGAGGAACGGTCACGGCAAAACAATAACTATTCTTCGTTAGGTCGTTGTTGATGGGCCCGCAAATTATAACCGATTCGGAGCGACCGCCCGAGTTCATGCAGATGGCGTAGACTATAGCATAAGAAAAAATGAAAATCGTGTTGAATTCCTGTTTTATGGCCCTAACACACCAAAACAGAGGAACGATCATGGTGAAACTGTGAATATTGTTCATTAGGTCATTTATGATGGGCTCACAAAAATTTAGGTGATTCAGAGTCGGTTGCCCTAATTTATGCAAATGGCGTGAACTATAGCATACAAAAATTCCAACATTGTGCTAAATTCCTATTTTATGACCCTAAAATGCCAAAATACGAGGAAGAGTCTGTCACGACCCAGATTTCCCACCCTCGGGAGTCGTGATGGAGCCTACTAATGAGAACTAGGCAAACCAACTCTTAGCTATCTAATTCCTTACCAAATTACTTCCTTTTAATAATTACGAGCAATAACATAAAAACAACAAAACTTTAAATAATTAAGAGGAAGATAACCATGAAATGTCTGAGGGCTACGTCTATTACAACTTTTAAAACCTCAAATACCCCAAAACCTGGTGTCACAGTGTCACAGACTGTCTAAGAGTTTCTACATACAAGGTCTGAAGAAATAACAGTACACTGTCTCTGAAGTATGAAAAATGAAACAGGAAATAGGGATAGAGGGAGACGTCAGGGCCCGCGAACGTCTGCAGGTCAACCTTGAGTCTCCGGATGGACTGAAGGAAGCCATCCAACTACTGTCCGAAAGCTGCTCCGGGATCTGCACACAGTGCAGAGTGTAGTATCATCACAATCGACCCCATGTGCTAGTAAGTGCCTGACCTAACCCCGGTGAGGTAATGACAAGGCTAGGACCAGACTCCAGATAAACCTGTGCAGTTATATAACATATGGCGGAAAAGTAACAAGTAATAAACAATTAAAACTAGGGAAATGGAACATGCTTCGGGGGTAGCTGATAAAACAAAATAACAAGAAATAATAAGGAAGCTAACAATATAACTTCTAACACAGATAAAGAAAAGTAAGGACAACTTTCACTTTCAGTTTTCATCTTGTTGCAGGCGTGTAACTCGATCCCATTTCTCATATCTCGTGGTAGGCGTACCACCCGCTCCCATTTCATATCTTGTGGTAGGCGTACCACCTCCTCCCATTTCATAATATCTTGTGGTAGGCGTACCACCCGCTCACATCTCATAATATTTTGTAATTTCAAGGAATCCCGGCAAGGGAAAATAATCAATATAATGACTTCCCGACAAGGGAACACAACAATGTAATAATTTTCCCGGCAAGGCAACAACAATATTGAAATAGTCATCCCGATAAGGGAGAATCAGCTATAACCAATCTCGATATAGCTTGTGCTCAGTTCAATTATTGAAAATGCTCAATCATAGAAGATCATTAAGTAAAGCACCCNCGCGGCCGTGCTGGCCCCTCCGCGGTCACACGCGATTTCTCGCGGACCGCACTAGAGGGTTCAGAGGCCTGCAACTTCTTGAACCTGCAACATCTGACTTTCTAAGCCTAAGGCATCCGGAACCTACTCGAAACTCACCCGAGCCCTCAAAAATCCAAACCAAGTATACACACAACCTCAAAAACATCCTACAGACATATTCGTGTAATCAAATTACCAAACTAACATCACGAGCATCGAATTAAACCTCGAGATCAATGAAATTTCTCAAAACTCTTTTAAACATCAAATTTCTCAATTAAGGTCCGAATCATGTCAAACGACATCCGTTTTTTGACCAAATTTCACAGGAATGACTCAAGTCATATATAAGACCTATACTGGGTGTCAGAACCAAAATATGGGCCCGATACCATTGCTTTCTAATCAGTTTTCATTTCAAATTTCCTTAAACACTTTCTGAAAACAATCTCACTTAAAAATTCATTTCTCGGGCTTGGGACCTCGGAATTCGATTCCGGGCATACACCCAATTCCCATATTTTCCTATGTCCGTTTACCCAAACGGTTGACCGAATTCAAATTAACTCATTTTAAAGTCAAGACTTAACATTTTTCATAGAATTTCGTATTTAAGCTTTCTGGCTACGCGCTCGGACTGCGCACGCAAATCGAGGCTACTCTAAATGAGGTTTCAAAGGCCTCAGAGACATAGAAATCGACTGAAAGCAAGTGATGACCCTTTGTGTCATCACATTCTCCACCTCTAAAACAACCGTTCGTCCTCGAACGGACAGAAGAAGGAAGTACCTGAGTCGGGAAAAGATGAGGATAACGCCTACACATATTGGACTCGGATTTCCAGGTCGATGCCTCAGGAGGCTGACCTCTCCACTGAACATGAACAGAAGGAAAACTTTTCGACCTCAACTGTCGAACTTGCCGGTCTAGAATAGCTTCCGGCTCCTCTTCATAAGATAAGTCCTTGTCCAACTGGACAGTGCTGAAATCTAACACGTGGGATGG